GGTGTGAGGCAGAAAATCGAGCAGCACTTGGTCAGGATTCCTAATTGGCCCGCCTTGGTTGAAGATGCCATATGCCTTCTGCGGGGTCCAAGCCAGCGAACTCCAAAAGCAGCTCTACCTCCCGCACTAGCCATTGCTACTACGCCTTGCTGTGCGACTGGTGACGACCTTTTAGCAATGGCAGCTGTCTCACCAACTAAAGGTAGCCTCTCTTTTCTTGTTTTTATGGCTCTGAGATGTGCCTTTGATCTGTGAGGAGAACAGTCGGCTTTTTGACCTCATCTGGCAAAATAAAATCATCGCAGGAAGATAATCCTCGCCATAGACGTGTAATTTAGGGTAGTAGAATGGTTGGTACTAGGTTTATTTGACGTCGTTTGAGGCGCTGTATGCGCTTAGAATTCGGTACTTTTGCCCAATTTGAATGATTTGGTGGTCCTAATTCATTTCCGGTATGTCTAAATGTCACTCTAGGGCGCAGTCGAAGTCCAGCAGTTCGGTTACAAGCGGCGCATCCATCGATTTCTCCTCGGTCATCCCTCCTCCCTAACCGATCAGCCAGTGTAACACCTCGAACCGCAGTCTTCGAGCCTCCCACAAGGGACAGCTCCGGTTGCGTGTTCCAAGGCCAACTTTCACGTCGCTCCTCCATCGATAGATTCTCCCACCTTATTCCCGGCTCACCGACCCCTTCCGCTCTAGATTCACGCACAATCGTCACACCGCCGTTTCCACACTCACAACTTTCACTTATGTACACACACAATGTCGTCTTCGCGTACATCGTCTTCAACGAGTTCTGTCTCGAACTGGCGGGTCTCTGCTGCGAACACAGTGTGTCAGTGGCAAGTGTGCAGCCTCAGTTTGAGAAGACTATGGAACTGGAGCGATGTCTGGCGGACTTTTGAAACCTAACAAACAGAAGTCTGTATCTTTGTCTTTCTAATTGCCTTATTTTTTAATCTGTCCATACCATCATTATTGGTATTTGCATCAATCATTATGACGATAAAGGTCATCCTACAATTGCCTTCTCATTGGTTTCCTTTTGCAAAGGGCAAGTGGAAGCTTGTGGAGTGTTGATCTTTATGAAACAATGGGTAGTATTTGAACTTCAGCAGACTTTTCGTTTTGGTGTTTGGGGCTCGCACCAGCGGCCCAAAGTTTTGTTGCTACTGAAAATAATGAGTAGTGTGGCGATGTGGTTGGGCGGACACATGTTACACACTACTGTCCAATAGACCTATCTCACGATTGGCGGCTACACTGATTGCTCGCGATCATTACCACTAACTCTCTCCCTCCTTGAACTTTCCTAGTCCACCGAATTAGGCACACCTCGTTTTACATTTCAGTGAGTCGCATTCTGTTCGAAGCTGTATGTCAGTAAGCTTCCCTTGCCACTGTACCTTATTTAACTTTGTACCCTTCTAAAGTCGTGGCTCGTCATGCTTTCATGCAAGCCTTGAGACACTTCACGGTTAAATTTATGCGTCCTAGCAATAAAATTATTTTCGTGAAAGAATAAGCCAATCCTTAAACTGTCTGTTGCAGTGGTCGCCATTTTATTTTAACAATTTCTGTACCGACTCTACTTGTACAGAAGCCAGAGAAAAAGTGTGATGTCGGATTGTAGTAGTGCTTTTACAAACAACAACAATCTTATCCCAGAGAATCCCCTAAGTAGTGCTTTTTTGCTGCGATTTTTTAACAAAATAACTAATAAAACATGTTTTAGATGACTGCGCTTATG